AAGATTAATAGTGTGTCTTATATTTATTAACCAAGCTTAATGTAGTCGTCCATCATTTTGACCCAACCCTGTGTCCACTGTTCCCAATGCATACATTTCCCACATAATTCAACAAGGTTCTCGGTATCATTGGCTACTTTACGATACAATTCCTCAATACTTTCACGGGCATTTATCAACGTAGCAAGGTCGTATGATATGTTCACACTTTCAGGTGTTGTTGATTCAAATCGCTTTATATTATCTATGGTTGAGTCCAGTAGTGTCCTTAACCTAGCCTCCAGTTCCTCTTTGGTAGGACAGGTAGTTGGCACGTTGGATGTACCTGGTACATTAGTGTGACCAGTTGGAACTAGAGTGAATATAAATAATTAGATTTATATTTTAATAAAAAAATTTTGAACAATATAATCCCAACCCATTTTATAATGCACTCAATTGTTTGCTACATAAAAATGTAGCTAGAATAAACATTACAGCTTATTCTATAAATAATAATTAATTAAACTTTTAAGTTCTGATTTATGTTAGTTATTCAATCGACAAAAAATAGTTACATAAACTTTAATATGCACTAAAATTAAATGAATTGTTTATAAAATTAATATACAATATATACAAAAATGAAATCTGAATTATAAATGTTCCATGTAAAAAGTTATTGATTATTACTTAATATAAAAAAATTTTCTTGTGTTCAATATTACAGTTTACTTATTAAATCAATATTTTACTATTTTATGTAATTCTTGTATATTATAATAATTATATTTAATATGTGTTATTATTTTTAACGTAAGTATATCCTTGTTATTAATTAATAATCTGTTGATGATTTAATATTAAATGAGTATTTTTAATAATGAATTATGTAATTATATAATCTATATAAAAATTGTATATTTCCTTAACTCTATTATTATATTGACATCAAGTATATTTTATATAATTTACCTGGTTGCACAGTGACCGTCATATCAACATGGGCATCCCTGTCCCGTTTATTTTTCCTGCATATTTCCTCGGCATATGTACCGCATATCACAAATAGTATGAAACATATAACAGGGTAAAACCACATCCTATTATCTAATATCGTAGCCCTTATGCCGTCCGACATATTGAACATTAGGTACCAATAGTAGGGTCTCATAAGACAACCCTTTTGTTTGAAA